AGGCCAGACCATCTTGGTCTTCATGCCTTCTTGACTTATTGTTAACTTGAGGCTTTTGCAAGAATAAGTCCCAATCGAACAATATTCATCAAATGACAAACGTAAGTTCGGCCAGTCTTTGCTTGAAACGATGGGGTATGTCTCGTGGACTGCATCTACCTGAACGACGTATTAAAGCCGAATGTCTGCAGTACAACGGGAATCAGCAATTATCTTCTGATGGGATCCACCATTGAGTCTCTTCATGATACACTTTCATACCAAATGAAAGTCTTTAAAACAAGTTTAGGTCAAGAGAATCTTTGAAACCGCGTAATTCTTCATATAAACCTAATTATATGATATGTATTCACCCTATTTCGTCTAAGGTGATAAAGAACTGGTAGTAGGCTTTTCCCACACTGATATGAGTACAGCTGACGTTTCCATTGAATTTCACATATACTTTATTTCCCAAAGTTGTTCTCATCCAGGGTGGATTGCAGCTAGGATCTCCCATAGGTCTTATCAACATCCCCTAGTCGGTGTCGAACCGTGACAGTGCAGAATGTGAGCTTGAAACGTTAACAGCTCGGCCACATTGCCACGAGTGCCCTTGAGTCAAAGGGAATATGTGAATTTCAAGGAAGGCCAGGCCTTTTGCCATATCATATTCTTTGGTACTCTGGTATAATCGGTTAAGCGAGGTCGAAACTGCAGTCCACTGGTGCCTGGATGAGAACAACTTTTGTGAAAGCAAGGCTATGCGAAAATCAATGGAAACGTCAGCTCTGCTCATATGATTGTGAAATAATTCTTCTACCAGTCCTTCATCACTTCAAACGAAATAGGGTGAATTCATCTCATATTACTGATTTACTGTTAGTCTCGAAACTCTACTAAAATACAAAAAATAAGCCTAATTATGTTTGAAATGGGGCAAATTGACGAATTCCTTCCCCTTATCATTGATAGGGTATCATCTTTATTCACTTTCTGATGAGGCTGTCGGACTTGTTTCTTCACCAGAAAATTTCAACTAAAATGAAAACGACTGTAGAAACAAAGGTCAAAATGTTGTGATGTCAAACTTGGTTGCAGCCTTATCTTCCTCTATGGGGTTGGTGGGACTTGGTTTTCGCAACTTGCTCGAGGTGTTAGTGAAACCTTTAAAAAACATTCATGATCCGGCGTCTTTTCCATATGATTCGGCACGATTACCAGCCTATCACCGTGGACTTGGTACTTACTTAGATGTCTAACCGATCAGTCTCGCTGATGATGCTGGGGAAACATTTAGGAATGTAGCAAGTCGGAGGGTTTATTCTTGAAATTTCCATGATGATTTATTTTGCAAAATGCCGAAAAAGATTCGTCCTTCGGGATTTCCTTGACACCACAACGAAGTTTTACAAATGGGGTCAAGGTAATATGAAAATTTCCAATCTTTGCAATGTGAAACTAACCCTCATATGAATAATAATTCTAAAGGGAAGCTAGGTTTGGAAGAATCACGCAAGTATTTCGTTTCATGCTCTTCGAAGAAGGTTCAGAGATAAACCATTCGCCTCCTGACCCTGTTTAATGGAGTTATATGGTATAAAGCAATTATCTTTTTCGATTCTATTAAGATAGGTAAATTGTCATTTCTTTTCCTCCTGGATTAGCAAATAGAACTGAAATTTTTTTCAGCGAGTTCGATTCCATTGTTTATAATCCTACTTTGCTATTTTAGCTTGTGAAAGTAGGTGCCCTTACTAAGGACGACTGATATATCCTCTTCAACCGAACGTAGATTCTAAGTCTGAATTGCTCAGAACGGATAACATCGTATTCTGATAACATGATATTATTACCAACACTAATGCTGATATCAAAACTATTAAAACACCCTAAGACATTTGAGCCCTTTTTGCTTATCTGTTAGTTTATGCCCTGTAAATGTGCAAACTGGCAATTTAATCGAAATTCTATTTAGTCTTAATGGAAATGAGCTTCAACGAAGACAGAAAGGGAGCAGATACGGGTAGAATGTGTATGTTATAGAGAGGAGGAGATGGAAAGGGAGGGATAGAATGGGTGAGAGGCAAGAGGAAATGGTTAGATTTAGACCCGTTGGGTTACACTGACAGCAGCCTCTCTGTATATTTCACAAGAAATGAATTCGCACTACTGCCAGGGCTGTGAGGAGGGGGCAATTGTCAACTTCATCTTTACCGTCCACAAAGAATTCCAGCTGCATTCACTAGTTTTGATGTCGCTTGGTTTCAATCCCCTTCGCGTCAACAAGCCTCCATTATCTCATTTCATCGTATACATACACATACGTACTGCGTACACACACGCACACACGCACACACACAGACACACACACACACACAGACACAGACACACGAAGTTTCTAGCCTGTCATGTAAGCCCGGAACAACCCTGAGGCGAAAAGTGTTGCGATTTTTTCCTTGTCCTAGCAACAGTAAACTCAATCGCTGATGTGCCTGAATTTTTGCTTTCCTGCCGTCCAGGGATACAGTAAACAATTTCTGTTTTCAGATCGCCCTGTCCACACCGGGGAAAGCATGCAGGCTGACAAGCGAACCAACAGACAGGACCAACAGAGCCAACAGATTCCGGACGGAGCGGGGCAGGCGGGCTGGGCAAACACTTGCGCAAGCTGTCAAACTCCAGGCTCTGACATTCGTGACGGCTGTATTAAACGGATGTCCGCTGCCATCCGCCTCCATGAGTTGACATGCTTCGTTGCAGACTTATAACGGCAACCCAGCAACCGGCCAACAAACCAACCAGACGGTCTTTTTGGAAGACCCTTTGGTCCGGTCATCCCTTCTGCACCGTCCATCGCATATCCTCACTTTCACTTACGCCTCCTCTTGGGTCGGCTTGTCCACGCCCCTGCAAAAGCATCTCTTAACTGTACATTCTTGGCCATTTACTTGTTGATCTGTATTTCTATGCGTATGCGCGGCTGTGTTCTGTATCTGTATATATTTGTTTAGAAAGCATAGACAGTAAGCCACTAACAAAGTGCTGCCTTCTGACAACTTCTTTACACCAACAAACCTCACATTCCCCACCTGTGGTGTATGTGTATGTATGTATGTATGTATGTGTGTGTGTGTGTATGTTTGTTTGTTTGTTTGTTTGTTTGTTTAGATGGATGGATGGATGGATGGATGGATGGATGAATGTATGTATGTATGCATGTATGTATGTATGTATGTATGTATGTATGTATGTATGTATGTATGTAT